AGAGAACAGGGAAATATGCAAAAGGATGGTTATTTCTCCCAACCCTGGATCTCTGTCACACATGGAGACTCACTCCATTCTCAGTCTGTCCAACTTATTTTATGTGGTTGTTTTTGTGAAGAAAACATTGGAAGAAAGAGTGCTGTTTGCCACCTTCAGTCTCTGAAGAGAGCCATTTATTTATTTGTCAAATAAATGTTGGCAGATTGATTTTCAGTCCCTTTCCTAATGAGATCTGGCATGGAATTTGCCTTTTTCACAGCTGCTGCACACTTCAGTGGAATCTCCTCTATGATTCCAAGTTGTTTTTCTTGATTAATTAGAACAGCTTAATACTGATGTATACTGCAGTGTTGTGATGGAATGGTGTGGTGCAGGCTGTGCTCGGGGAGATAAGCATTTCCTTAGCCCCCAGCAGGAGCTTGGGAAGGTTAAGAAGATGAGACTGGCACCACCCTAAGGAATTCTCGGTGTTTGCTTGCTGGCTTGAGAAGTTTAGATTCAGTCTGGCAGGATTCTGTCTTATGGTTGGAAGCTAATAAAAGCTATCGAACTAGACCTGTACTGTCTCGTGGAGTTCTTTGGACTGAACCTGACAAGTGTCCATGATGTTTTTCTGACAACATTTCTATTACTTTTTTAAACAAATGTAAAATTATATACCCAGGATTCTAGGCAATGATCTTAGTGTCCCATTAGCTGAGAATTTCTTGCCTATACCACAGTTTTTAGGATCAGGAATGTATTAATGTCTCATACCATTCTGCTGCTAACTGAACTTGTGTTGAAGGGAGCTGGATATTTTGGGTATTGCTTTTATATTTACATTTATATACTGTTTTTTTCTTTCTGAGTTTTATGTCACTGAAACTTAGCTGTATTTCATAAAGCAGTAGTTATTTGAAGTAACATTAATATGTTGATGAACTCTGATTTGGCAGGGAATATATGGCCCTCAATGTATATGTGGCCTTGTGTTACTACAAGTTGGATTACTATGATGTCTCTCAAGAGGTGCTAGCTGTTTACCTTCAACAGGTTCCTGATAGTACCATTGCTCTTAACTTAAAGGCTTGTAATCATTTCCGACTCTACAATGGGAAAGCTGCTGAGGTATTTTGTTACAATATTTTTATTTCCCAAATCATTTCCTCAATACAAGTTTAAATTTTGCTATAATATTTCAATATCTGTTCTTGAGAAGTGCAAATTCTTTGCAGTTTGTGTATTGCTATTTCTATTTTTCCTGGTACATGTACAGAGTTCATATTTTAATCTTATAGTATTTGGTATATTCATTTAAGCAAAATGTTTATTCCCTTGGTTACCACTGTTAATAATGTGACCTATTGTCTATTTTTTTAAAATTTCTTTAAAACTATAAGGCAGAGCTTAAGAGTTTGATGGACAGTGCTTCAACATCATTTGAATTTGCTAAAGAGCTCATTAAGCACAACCTGGTAAGTAGCAATGGAGTAGCTCATATAATGTGACTTATTCATATCATACACATGATCAAAGTACTGTTTTGTCAACTAGTCCAGAAGAGTAACTTATTGGTTGGGAATGAGCTGTAAAAGTTGCACTTATATTCACAGAAGAGTTCCTGAAAAAGAGTGGCAGATTTGGGAAAGGGAAGTGGGATCGATGGAGAGAATATAATGTTTCACATTTTTATGGTAATGCTAAATATTATATATTTTTTCATAAGTCTTTGATTTTGATTTTGTTTACTTTGATTATCATATTCCCTACTATTATTCATGCATAATCATTAGCCTATCCCTGACTTTGAGGTCTTTTCCTATTATGTTCAAACATTATCGCTTTCAAAAGCCTTCCTGTGACCTATACCCTCCAGTTTCTCTTCTTGCAGTTTGCCTCCAGATGCTGTTAACTCTGTAAACTTGATTTTTTTCTTTTGTATTATGATTTTGGTTTATGATCTGGTTTTCACCCCAAATTAACTTTCTTCACAAACCAAAATAATTTAAAAGTATTTTTGTTTATTCCATGCACAATTCTTCTTTATATCTCTTTTTTAGCTTCTCATGCCCTTCCATGCACATTGCTAACATCTTATCCTTCAATTACCAGATGTTTTACACTTTATTTCTCTACTAATGACTTTTACTTCTCTAAATCTATATCTTCAGGTGTCAGATAATATTCTTGCTCTCTGCGAGTTCTGCTTTTTCATCCTTGTTGTTTGAAACTCCCTTGTCTCACAAAAAATATACCTGATGTCACCTCTTTCCCTTTGTCCTCAAAATCCATGTTTTCAGCAAGGTCTTGTGCTTAATTTTTCATTCTCTTAGCAACTGTATCCAAGTTTTTAGTATGTATACATAATGGCTGTGTATGAAACTAAGTAAGGTGCTGTATATATTGATAGTATTAAATAAATAATAATAAAGGTGTCACTATGAATTCTACTGGGGTAAATGTTTATTCTGTAAAGTACAAAAGCAATGGAGTAATAAGTGACATATTTTCATGGATCATGATAAACTGCCACTTCCTAGTCCAATAAATAATATATTTAAAACATGTACAAGGTAACATTGTAACTTGTTTGCCACAATATTGATACAGTGAGTAATTCTGTTTACAGGTGGTATTCCGAGGAGGGGAAGGATCTCTCCAAGTACTCCCTCCCCTGGTTGATGTTATTCCTGAAGCTAGACTGAATCTAGTCATTTACTATCTTCGACAAGGTTTAAAAAAATCTGTATACCTCATTTTACTTTTCACAACTTCTAGTGATTCTTTTCTACCAAATAGAGGATGTATGTATTTTGTTTTGGGGATGCAGTTGCTTACTAATTTTTATTTGTGGTGCTTCATGAGCTAACAAATGATGTAAAGGAAGTAGGATGATCCTGGAGAAAGGTATGGGGTTCTTTAAGGAATTGCAGGCAAGTGCTATGTTTGTCACCTGCACTTCAAAGCACTTTTTTGCCTTCAGTTCCAAAGTGCTGCACAGCCCCATTATTTAATGTCCCTTTTAGGGACAAGTGAATTTTTGCTTAAGCAAATCTATACAATCTGTCCCATCTTCACCTAGATCTGTGTAGGAACAAAAATACATACGTCACTAACTTCAATTATATCAACACTAAGAAATGCCTTTAGTCCCTACTCCCATCTTGAGATTTGTTTTGCATAGCAGACCTCAGAGGTATAAATTTTGATCTTGGGCTGATCAAAGTTAATGTTACTGTTCTGCAACTGTCACATTGACCCTGGTGTTCTTTTATTCATATTTGAACTGTTAAAACAAAATCCAAAAAAATTGCTTTTAAGTTCTTTTTGGTTTGTCACTAATAAAATGTTTCATTTTAGTAATTAATTGCATCTTTTATGGACCCAGAAAAAAATAAATTGGCATTCTGTTTGATGCATTTTCCTTCTTTTTTCTCTATGTATCATATGCAAATATATGAGTGAAATAAGGCTAGAAAGCCTTTAAAGTGTACACACATTATAAATGAAGTACAACATTACACAAATGTTTAGCTTCTTTTTTTGTCAATAGATGAAAGCTGAATGAAAGTGTGGGAGAGTTACAGTATTATATACTATAGTAATATACTGTAACATATTATTTCAGATGATGTACAGGAGGCTTACAATCTGATTAAAGACCTGGAACCTACAACCCCTCAGGTTAAAAAAAGTTTATTCATTATTATATACTGGAAGAAATTATATTTGGAATATGTTATAGGATAGCATTAAATTCTTGTACCATCTTTTTTTTCCTTTGTTGCCTTCCCTTTTAAAAAAAAGATATGTGGATCGAGAATAAATTAGTTCCATTAAAATCAATATGAAAAATTAACTTTCATTTGTATAAGTTGCAATTTATTTTAATGGGAACTAAGTACATCTAACTTAGTCTCGATGAAATTCTGTTTTGAAATTTTCTTCACATATATAGCAATCAGAACAATAATATACACAGTATATACACAGTATACACAGTATACTTGGTCCAAGATTTGAAATGTTTTGATTGTTAAAAAAACACTATGGTACAATAGTTGGCATGTTTTATGTTCCATTTAAGTGATTTTTATAGAGTTTAATAGATATTTACATTTTCTGATTATTCTACTTATTTCAAATTCATTATTGGTATTGTTATTATTTAAAAATAGTGTCCTTAGCTGGCAAATGCTTTAAGAGCCTGGAAGATGGGAAGATAAATTTCTGGGACCAGGGTGGTTCAACTTACAGCTTATGTTTGCGTAATGGAGTATATCTACACTGGTGGTCCCCAACCTTTTTGGCACCAGGGACCGGTTTCATGGAAGGCAATTTTTCCACGGACTGGGGGTAGTGGTGGTTTTGGGATGATTCAAGCACATTACATTTATTGTACACTTTATTTCTATTATTATTATTATTATTATTATTTCTATTACTATTATTATTTCGGTGGGAAGAAACACTGGCAGTGCTTTGTGTGGGGATAGGAATTGATTGCTGGTCCCGCCTAGACGCGAATGTCGGAAAGATCCGACTCCCCTGCGACCGCCCGCCGGG